CTCTTGCCACTATTGCAACACCATACCATTGCCATTGCTACTGGCTTCGTTCGTTGCTGGCATTGGTGGCAAAGGGCGAGGGTATACTCGGCTTGCGAGTAACGAGCATTACCTCCGGAGCATGTCGGGGCTAGATTTCCCCGTGGACTCTAATCACGCATCGGCATCGAGGTATTAGCCGCAGGCCCACGGGATCCTCGCGTCGTACTCGTCGATCGGCTACCAACGACGATACGTTTTCCTCCTAGTCGATACGCCATCATTATCATACCTTTTGCTTTTATACTCGTTTAACTTCAATGACTATTGACCATTACTTTTTGTTTGCCGATATTACTGATATTACTTTTCTTTTTCTTTTCCCTTTTGTTATTTTTTTTTTTCTTTTTTTCCCCTATTTTTTTATACGATATTACTTTTATACCGATATTACTTTTCTTTTTCTTCCTTTTTCCCTATTTTTCTTTTTATACGACATAGTCCATTATATTCGGAATAACATTAATTTCAATTCGATATCCTTGTTCAACGTTTTCCCGTTCGTTGGATAAAATATATAGATACATATACGTGTTCATGTTCTACAAAAAAAAAAAAAAAAAAAAAAAAAAAAGAAGAAAAAGAAAAACACGTAACGAATCCCAAAAACAGCAAAGATGATACATAATGTGAAAACGAACCATTCGAAAAGCCGATATAAATTTTCTTCCATTTTCACGTTTCGAAGAAGGACGACTTTATAGATTTCCCAATGGACTCTAATCACGGATCGGGATCGAGGTGTACTAGCCGCAAACCCACGGGATCTACTCGTTGTGCGCATGTGTACCGACCGATCGTATATCAACGATAATATCTTTTCTTAAACTTATCAAGCTTGCTTAACGTTCCTTATCTAGGACACTGATTTTAGCTCTGAAATTTACGAAATATAACTTTATTGTTCTCGTCGTTGTACTGTTAACTGCAATATTATTAAAAATTTCAAACAGATCCTTCTACCAAATTATGGATATGAAATGAAACGATTCTTTGGATCAGTACAGCGATTTTATTCTATCTTATTATTAAGATTGCACGAACAAGGCATTTTCATTGCTGGAGAATATCATTCTCTCATAGACAGATATATGTCAAGTCGGTACGCGGTTATGTCATCGAATTCCCAGCCCTTACGTTACACGCACGAATAATTTCCGTCGTAGAAACGAACGACGCGATGGAATTTCGCACAATGGATGCATCGGCGACGACAAACTCTCCCCTTCTCTTACATACGTCTTCTCGATTTCCTCGCTTTCGTCCGTCCTCTCTCACGTTCAAACACACACGCGCGCATACACACACACATAGAGTCTCTCTATCTCTCTCTTTCTCTCTATTCTCCTCTATTCGCTTGATGTCACTCGAAACGTTTCTCGACGTGCCTCCCGTGAAATTATATGTATAGGTAGGAACGTATGTGTAAGCGCGAGCAATGCATAATTCGCGCCGCGAACGACGGGCGTTTCATGCGTCGAGTGTCGCGCAAGTATAATCCGGAGTCCAATTAGCGATAATTACGACGTGAATTGGGAATCCCTAATGGCGACGAGGCCCTGCAGGCCAGCATTCCCCAACGCTTCGTTTCTCACTCGCTCTCATTCGTTCATTCGTTCATTCGTTCATTCGTTCATTCGTTTGTTTTGCCCAGACTGGCTCATTCGTCATCACGATTTTTGCAAATGACATCACCCACGCACGAGATTATATTCGGCTAACGTACGATCATTGTTTGGTGTTGCGAACAATTTTCGATGGAGCATTATTAATAAGTCCGTGAATAATTTGGAATTATTTCGCGAGTGTGAACGAATGAGAATAAGAGAATACGGAGGGGGACTTTATTGATTGATTTATTTATTTTTTTTTTTTTATCTTATCGTAACCATCAATCGTCATAATCTTTGATAGTTCATTCGGTACTCCGACGAATATTTACGTTTCGCAAGAGAGAGAGAAAAAAAAAGACAAACACAACACAAGGTACGCGTTTATACTACACTATAGACGCGTTTATTTATTCGTACTTGCGTTGATAAAAGGACAAGTCTTACGTTCATTTTCTGTTGTACGTTCTTAACGAAACGATTAGAAATTTATCATATTACATAATTGAAATTAAACGTTATTTTACGAATAACATTTAATCTTCCATAATTTACTTCTCACGCTCATAGGAATTACAGCTTTACAACGTTCCACGAAATTGATTTTCGCTTTGTTCACGATTCCCAGGTCGCCGAGAGCTTTCCTCCGAAGTAAAGCGCGTCACGAGGTAGTCCATATTACTAGTGGTGGCCGGTGGTGGCCGGTCAGAAAACACTGGGCAAAGCCCATACGAGAAAATTACACCGTCGTCGTGGCCCGACGTGCTCTCTACTCTAAACTAGTGCTATTCAAACTGTGTATGCGAGGAACTCATGGGAATACTGCTGCACACTGTTCCCGGGTTAATAATTCGCTTATTAATAATTGATCCCAATTTGCATATAATTACGGTCCCGTAATTATGGAATTCTACAGCATTATGAATCGGATCATTGTTATTGTAATAGAACGTTTCACCTTCTAAACGAAAATTCAATTAACAATCTTCGAAGCTTGTCGCGTATTTAACGTCAAAGACTTGTCGTGCTTGTACGACGTTATTACACGACTAGGAATATCTCTATATAATCGTTTTCGAAGTTAAACGTTTTCAGACAAAGCGGATCGACCAATTTCTGGGATCGTCGTTTGTAATCATTTGTTAGAAGAACGAAGGTAAATCGGAAGAAGCGTTCACAAGAAAAGTTTGCAGATTGCAGGAAAGTTTTCGTGTTTAGATCGAAGATAAAAAAGTACACGTTCTAATCGCGTTACGGTGACTAGTTCAACAACAGCCGAATGACTCGTGATATCTTCCTTGTGATCTTCGCTTACGTGGCGCGATCATCAGTCAAGGAAAGGGATGATGGAAGGTGGTAAAGAGGGGAAGGAGTACTAGCAGCAGCGTTGGCACCTCGACGAATAGGGTCATTTGTAGACACGAGTATTACAGACGGCTGCTCGGCGAACGTCCAACCGATGGCGAAGGGAAAGTTCGTTCGATGTGATTTAAGGGTCTATCGAGCGATGATGCCTTAAGATTAGTTACTCGCTAGATCATAATTTTCCTTTACCCGCGTCTCGTAAATTTATCGAAATTCGTCGACGTCGCATGTCAGAAACACGAATCACTTCCTACGCCTCTGTTTCTTTTTTTTTTCCTTTCTTTTTTTATTTTCCTCCTTTTTCTTTCTCTGCCCCTCCGAATAATCGAACTTTCTGAGAAATTCGAACAAAGGTTGACTTTGTTAATATTTTTTAATCTGGCACCACCGTTTGTTTTAAAATATAGAATCTTCATTTTATTTAGAATTTAGAATCTTACAAGAATCGAATTTATCGAAGTTACGAAATGTAAGCTCAGAAAGTCAAGCGAAACTGTATAAAGATGTATTAACCTATCATATATCTATTGGTTTCATTCTAGTCACGTTCGCGCATTGCTGCAAGAACTCCCGACCACGAACGGTACTTTATACGTTTTGACAAAGTATTATGGTATCCTAAAATCGAACCTATCATACACTACCGATCGCAATTACGATATTCGTCGTGAGATCGTACCTACGTCATTAAATGCGATATTGAATATTGCCATATTGCGTTATCGTCCAAAACAAGGTATATACGGTACACGGTCCTCCTCATACCTTAATTGCAAACCTTGCCGATGCTTCTATTAAACGTAATCACGTTATAGCACCCTCTAGATGAAGATTAGTGTTTCATTACAATATCATTATAACGTTCTTCCTGCTTAACTTGAATAGGATTATTAACGTGTCGCATGCCAAGAGATTTTAATTCAATTAATCTCCTATCTCTATGGATTTCAAAAAACAACATGTTTATTGAATTTGTTTTAAACTTTTTCTCAAACGTGGAAAAAAAAGAATGAAAAAAAAAAATAAAAAAAAAGAAAAAATAAAAAAAGAAAAGAAAAAGCAAAAAAGAGACAGTGAAATCCGACAAGAAAAAAGTGTTCGACTTTTTTCCATGGACAACAGTAATTTAGCAATTCGTGCGAATCGTAAGTTCCAGCTGGGAATTCCAAAGTTCGCTGTTGGAGGAAAAAGGAAAAAATGAAAGGGAAAGAGAGAGAGAAAGGGGGGGGGCGGAGGGAGAACGAGCGAATGGTAGAACAAACATATTGCTTAAGCTTCATGGACTTTTGCGAAAGCATTGTGGGGATGCTCGGAATGAGAGAATAGCTATATGCAGGTAAAGCAACTCATTCGTAAACTAAGGGGTTGTAATACCAACGTACACACGCGCGCATGAGCATCTTCTACTCTCTCCATTCGCGTGTCTAAAGAGAGGGAGGGAATAGCAAAGTCGGAATTAACCAACTATATAGTATAGAAAAGGAGAAAAGGGTTGGCGATACAACGTTGAATCGAACTTTTGGCAACTCGTAACTACCGACCGGTCGAATTTGCTGCCGGTTCGACGTCCACGTCTCCTTTGGTAAAGGGAAACGAAAGAGGATGCAAAGAGACACCGAAGAGGTTTCGATGAGGTTTCCAGAAGCAGCAACAACCTTCTCCAATTTTCCCTTCTCTTCTCTTCTCTTACCATCGTATTCCATCTAACCTGTCATCCCTGTCCAAAGTCTCTACATCCGTCGATGTCTATCATATCGAGTTTCGTATAGATCGAATAATAGGTACTATAGCACTCCGTAGTATATCGAATTCTCGTAAATTTTTCCGCGTTTGTCTTCCTTTCCTAGCGACTCGCATTCGGTGACAAACGTAGTCGCTCGATATATCGATCGGTTATTCCATGATCGTTATCAAAGTTGCGAACAATGATAAAAAAAAAAAAAAATATAATTGTCTCAGACTAATTACGATGACTTTTTGTTCCAGGTTGTTGCTTTGTAACCTTCTACACGAGAAAGGCGGCCTTGGACGCACAGAACGCTCTGCACAACGTCAAGACTTTTAGCGGGGTGAGTACGCATTGCTCTCCTGAGAGATTGCATTATATAATTCATTCGGACATAACAGAATTATACGTAACTCGTTTAATGATCCGTTAGCTATATGATTGTTCGGTATAACGGATAAAGGACTAATCGAATAATTGATTGTCACGGGCGTTAGTTGTTAATTAATTATATGATGCGGCTCGGTACGTTTAAAAATTCAATTGGGCTTATTTCGACGGTGAATGAAAAAAATATCATATCTCTTGATATACGTTTATATATCTATACGTGCATACATTCATAGATACGTAGATAGTTATATAGGCACGATGGGTAGAAATACTCGTGATGCTTCTCTCGAAATGTTTCACCGAAATTCGAACGATATACAGATGTTCTATAATAGGTCGGATGGAAGTAGAGGAGACGATGCGACCGATGATGTTATCCTCGTTCGATTCGGATCAATGCGCCGAACTCACCGGCTAAGCCGAACGAATGTTTACGCGAACAATTATCCCAGTACCGATGATGATTCGCTCGATCGAGTATTGACCGAGTAATGAATATTAATACGGTTGATCGTTCGAATAAATTATTCAAATCGTCGCCGAGGTCGACCGATCGATCCTTCGACCAATCATCGATGCAATCGGATCTCGATTCTCCCTTCTTCGTCGAACGTTCGTTTCTATCGTTTCTGACCGATCCGAACAGAGTAAATACATCGACCACGTTGTTGAAAGCACGTTTGCGGTAATCGATCGATTTTTTTTCCTTCCCCAAACCCCAACGATTCACATACTTTTATTCCTTCGAATGTCATCCCTCGAATAAAAAGTTGTAAAATTTATTCAATTATTTGAAAAGAGAGAAAAAGAAAAGAAAAGAACATAATAGTCTTGTAATACTATGTATCGTTCGACATTTTACTTTCTCGAGATTCTTTCATGATCGCAGACCACCTATACGTATGGCTAAAGTGCTTTCACGCGGTAATTACAGGTAACTTTCGCGGCAATTATGGGATGTCATTAAGAGCATTTAGCGGGGAGGCTCAGAACCAACCACCCAATCTTTCTTCTTGTTTATAGTTGAACGTACGAGAATAATTATCATCGATCCGCAAAAACGAACAATCTCGAGCTAAACTCTACGTGAGGCTTTACAATGTTTCAAAAAAAAAAAAAAAAAAAAGAAAAGAAAAGAAAAAGAAAAATAAAAAGAAAATATCATGATTGACAGAATTTTTTATTGAATTCGATTCCATACGGCGTCTCGTAAAATTTCGTAATTTTTTTGTTCTTTTTTTTTTTTTTTTTTTTTTTTTTTTTTTTTTTTTTTTTTTTTTTTTTTTTTTTTTTTCTTAGATTTGCATCGAAATATAAAACGAAAAAAAAAAATATACACAAAAGTTCACGTTTATCCGCTCAATTTTTTTGAGTTTCATTGACAAACAGTGTTTATTCATAATTGAACGCTAGTCCGACGTATAACCTGTCGAGTAGTACGCACGAAGAGTCATGTGGTTGCTACGTTAGACGTACGGCGGCGCCACGGACTTTAGTTTCATTCATTCATTCATAAGACGCATATTTCTCCTATCGAATAGATTGTTTCTTGAAATAGCATATAACAGTTAGAAAGAAGTATATATAGGAGAGAAACGATAGATATCTACTTTCTCCGCACAGATTCCTTTTAGTTTACTTTTCGTATCCCCTCGAATTATACTTCGTAAATTGAATTGATCATGGGGGAAGAAAGGAACAACGGGATCTCTTCAGATTCTTCTTCCCTCCCATATCCAAACACTATATCATAGTCCGTATTAACGATAGATACATCGAATTTCTATCTGTTTAAAAAAAAAAATTTTTTTCTACAGAAATTCGCAATTAAAATAATCGACACATATATATATATATATATATATATATATATATAGATGCGGAAAGAGGAAAGCATAACTTTATCTGTTGAATACATATCCGAGCAGAGTTCGTTTAAACAAATATATTATAATCGCTAGTTGGAATATGAAAGACAAACAACTATACAATTTCACGAGTAGATAGTTACGTAAATACGTAAGCTTTTCGTCCACTTTTCTATCGAGCTAATTACGAAGAAGCTAACGAACACAAAGTAGCTTGGATTAAATCACTCGAGGGCGTCATTCACATAGAGAGGAGGTCACGTGCCGTGAAAAAAGATTCCCAAAAACAAAGTGTCGCGAAAGACTACTACTACGCATGGTAGTTAATTAAAACGAACTAAACGAACTACTTTGCCGTCATCGTTAGGGTTTCGATTAAGGGTGCAGTGAGTCGCAAAAGAGACTTCTCGAGACATTGCGTGGATTGTGAGGTTGAGCAAGAAAGAGAGAGAGAGAGAGAGAGGGTAGAATACTCGAGCAATAAATATAGGTCTACACATATGTGTATATATATATATATATATATATATATATATATATATATATGAAAAGAAAAAAGAGAGAAAAAGAAAGAGAGAGAGAAGAGAATACTCGAGCGATAAATATATGTGTATATATTATGTGTATATATATATATATATGAAAAGGAAAAAAGAGAGAAAGAAAAAATAGAGAGAGAGAGAGAGAGAGACAAAAGAAATAAATGAATCGCGGAACGACGTTTTCGCAATGAAAAGGGTTGACTGAGTATAAGTGGGTGAGTGAAAGGAGCGCGAGTCGTGCAAGGACTGGAAGAGTATAGTCGGTGGAGAAAGAGGAATACGTTGTGGAGGGGTTGAAGAGCTTAGAGTGAAGGAGGACGAAGAGGTGGAGGAGGAGGAGTTAGGGTGGCGAAGAAGGGGCGGCTTGTGCATTCGAAGGAGTTTAGCTTTTCTCGTATCAGATTTCGTTTCCACGAGTGGCGTCGAGTCGAGAGGTTTGTGTTGGCTCGGAGAAATGAGTCGAGTGCTCTGGGGAACCTTCCCTCTGCACTCTCTCTCTCTCTCTCTCTCTCTCTCTCAAACACATACACACATACACACACATGCTCATAGAATCTGAAACGCGAGCGTGTTTCATCCACCTATAGTGGCATCCACCCACTATCTTTCCTCGACGAATATATCCCAAGGAAAATACGCTACTAACAATTTTGCCAAATTGTTATATCTCAAAAATTAAATTCGAATTCGGTTCAACCATCGAAAAGCTTCTTGAGCTTGTTGTACAAAAATATTGATTCGAACTGGATCGTTTGCCTGATTAATTCCTTGATTCTTGATCATTAATTTGACACTTCGCACTTGTATCATTGGCGTACGATTCATTTACACGCCGCAGGATCAATCTCGCGTTTCGACACTATCACACTTGGAGAGTATTACGTTAACACCTCTAACGATCAATCCGAACGAATAAAATGTATATACTTGTGTTTGTGTCACGCATATGTATCTATAAATGCCGATCGTTTGTAGATGAAGCAACGCTAGGGTAGAACAGAAGCCATGTAAAAAAGAGTGAGTGAGAGAGAGTGAGAGAGAGAAAGGGGAAAAGCGAAAGGGGGTGGCTCGGCTGGCTCGCGGCCACGAAATTGATGGAAAACCGTGGCGAATTAACAAGCTGGCATACCGTACTCGCAACAGTGCGTAATATTATTACGGTACGGCGGAACAAGAGGTATTGGAACTGAGGCGAGCGTAACTGGAAAATGAAACCGATATATGGCCGATGGCGCGTTGATATGGTCCAGGAGGGAGCGAAGGGGTGGAAAGGGACGAAGAGCATGGAAAGAGATGGTGGAAGAGGTCGATGCTCAAATGGGAAGTGCGCATCGCTCTATCTCTCTCCTTCCCTTCCTCTCTCTCTCTCTCTCTCTCTCTCTCTCTCTCTCTCTCTATCTATCTATCTATCTATCTATCTATCTATCTATCTCTATCTCTCCGTTTCTCTCTTGCTACAGCTCGACCAGTGGGAGACCTTAAAATATTCAGGATAATGTTCGTATCGGTTGCTCACTATACCCACGATCGATATCGATGGTATCACCGATGAATTTCGAACTACAACACTCTCACCAGGATCCTGGATAAAATTTAATAAGCAGTTATGGTCCACATAATAATCGTACGTCATGCCGCGCTCGTATATTATGCGGCATCTCATGCACACACGAACATACTTGCACGAGACACGATACACACGAACTCTACCTACATATAGTCACGTTATCGTCGTGCAATAACGCAATGAATCACACTGTCACACTTCGCGACACGATGATGACAATCGATATACCTTTTGTATGCGCATCGCCACCACTCATAAATGTGGTGGTTAACGTCTGTACGAAGTATTCCAGCCGCAGAAGCTTATTTGCGTCCAAGCAAAATCGTTTCTCTTCTTTGTTCTTTATTCGGTAAAAGTGCTAGTTCAACACGCGATAAAATTGAAATTCTCGCGAGTATCCTCGTGCTTTATTTTCTGCTAACTTTATATTTTAATTACTTCGTAATTGTTCCATGGATTTCATGGGAGTTAATTTTTTTCTGTTTTCTTTTCTGTTTTCTTTTCTCTTTTTTGCTTCTTTTTTTGTTTGTTTGTTTGTTTGTTTTTTTTTTGTTTAGGAAAAGCGAATCAAGATAAGCAATAGACTTAAGGCATTATAGAAAAAGTTGTTCGTTATTGAAATTTGCATATAAGTGTATTTTCAATTAAAGAAAATTCTGTTTACGAGTCAGGACAATTTATAGTGTTAATAAAGTGTTCCTCCTCGGTACCGTAATTGTCAAATATTGTCTAAAGTATGCTACGAATAGAGTAATCTAAAATGTACAGTAATTTCAAATGTTTGATATTATACGCCATACGAAGGTTCTCCAATGTATTGGAAGTGCTGATACACGACTGTACACTAAATACCAAAATTGATAACGAGTTGTAATTCGTGTGCAACGTTTACTCGTCCACTCAGCAATTCGCGTATGTGCTTTTAAGTGCGGTTTTGATGCTTCAGCGGACACGAGTGCGGAGGAATATTGTC